CCAAACCCCCAGTGTTCCTTGCCAGTGAGGCTGGAAACCACACTGCCCCTCACACTGTTGCAGTTGGAGCACACCCTGCCATTAGGAACACAAGGCCCTCATTCTGGATGACATTTTTTTTTCTCTCCAAGGTCTGCAAACCAGGAAATGAGGACTACAGTCTACAAAGGCCTATAGAAGTAGACACTTATGAGTCTCTATAATTCTCCAATTAGTACTGTGAGGCTCCAGTTCTAAGATTGGTGCCAGATGGACACATCTTCTATAAGGATCCCTGCACCGTGAAGGACTCACATGCTACACAAAGCTGACCTCAATCTGTAGAAAATGAAAATACTGGGTGTATACTGACTAAACATTTAATCAACTGCTTGCTTTCTTGGTTTAAAAGGTTGCAGAGCAGAGGCTTCAAATGGACTAAGGTTCTTAATATATTCTAAAACAGGTTAAAGACAATGCTTGTTCTCCTTCAGTGAGTTTCTCGTTACCTAACATAAGGGCTAAAAGGTTGCCAGTATGCTTAGCTCACAGATGATGTAGGGTCCAAAGTACACAGATATGCCTGGGAAGGGTGGCAGGGGAGGCTCAGAGTTGCTACAGGTACCTGATGCTGATCTGAGCATAAACCCTCCTCGATGGGTTCAGAGTCAAGTGCATAGTGGCCCTTGAAGGGGCCTGTTGTCCTCACTGGGGGCATCAAAATAAATCTTCTAATAAATGTGCTTAGGAAATCGTATTTTTTACATCAGGCTTTTTTTTTTTCTTTTTAGTTTACCCACATTTTATGTCCTTAGGTGCCTCTCATGTCATGCCTTCAGTTAGATAAACCATTAGTGTAGAAACCATGTCAAAACGGGTATAATTAGTAGAGTATTAATAAATCTCGTTGCTTAAGAATTTAACCTTTATTTCCAGGAGGAAATAAATTTAAAATATCCTAGGCCAGGGAAGCCCCCTGTGGGTGACTCAGTCCTGAGGCAGTGAATTATTTGCTGTATCTAGGATTTTCCTGGGCTTTGTAGGAACTTGGATTCATCATCCTTTAGGCTCCATCTCTGGTAGGGAGAGAACGCTGTGCTGGCTGGTTAATAATGTGGCTCTTCTTTCCCCTTGGCTGGAGAGAGGAAAAAGGCATTGAGAGGCTCTTGATAGCTAATTTGCAGGTCTCCTAAAGACTCCAAAGAGCACTGAGCCCCCCAGACACGCGGGGAAGTGCAGGGAATGCTTCCCAGAATTTAGGCCTCAATGCCCTTGGCACCGAAAACTTGTTCACAGGGTCTCCATGCAGGGAGATTACAGACAATTAAACAGGCAATTAGAGCAAAAGTTCATGGAATAAAATGCTTTCTCCTTAACCCTTGAAGCTCTGCATGGTAAGTCTGTGCCTCTCCGTCTTTCTGAGCCCTCGTTCTGCCACTCTGCCTCCTGCTCTCTTGGCTCCAGTCACAGTGTCCATTTTGCTGTTCTTTGACGGGGCTGGCCTTGCCCACCTTGGGGGGGTCTTTGTACTTGCTGTTCTGTGGGCCGCCTACCTGGAACATGGCCTTAGAGGCGGCCTTTGTCATACAAGCAGAGCAGCCCTCTGTAGTCTCATGCCCTGTTCGTTTTCTTTGATTTTTGTTCTTTTTTTTCATGTGATGTGGGCATCAAACCCAGGCCCGTTGGCATGCAAGGCAAGCACTCTACCACTCAGCTACATCCTCAGACCTCCAGTCATTCTCTTAAGAGCACTTACAGGCATGTGAATTTAAGCCGGCATGCCCCATCAGAAGATAAAACAGGGCAAAGGTAGGGCTGCTGTCTGACCTGCTTACTGCAGTGTCCTCTTAACGGATAAATACAGGTGCTCAACAAAGACTTGCTGAAAGTGCGGTAAAGGATCCAGGCTGTTAACATGGCTTATTCTGAGGTGAGCCCAAGAGGCTACTGGGAGAAAATGACATCTGTGAGAGCTAGCTAAGTTTGGGGAGGCAGAGCTAGAGAGGAAGCACAGAGCAGTTACAGAATACACTTCATAATGCTGGATTGGTGCTCTGAAAGGCTACAAACCCTTGACAAAAATCTAAAGAGGCGAGAAAGAGTCCCCACGTCTGCCGTTCAGTACAGTAACTGCTCAACTCTGAGAAGGAGCTTGAAACTGCAGAATCAGCTCCTCTCCGAGGAAAGAAGAGCGCATGAAGGGCAAAACATTGCTGCACGCCGCCATCTTGTGGCCAGAGCCTTAGCGGGCAGCGCAGGAGCCCAAGGCTCGAGGCCCCTGTGCTTTGGGCAACTCCTCTTCTCTAAGAGGTCTGGCTGAGCAGCCCAGGCAGACATTGAACTTGCAATTTTCCCCGCTCTTTACCAAGCAGACGATAATACTGTAGGGAGTCAATTCTTTGGTCAAAGCACTCCTTAGGATATTTTATCCTGCATAAAGTTTGAACAACCATCATAATATCAGCATATACTGGGCACTTCTACATTCGGGGAACTAGGCATGAATCCATTCATTTAAGCCTCACAGTCTGTAACTACTGGCGCCCCCATGCCATGGAACAGGAAGGTGAGGCCTGGAGAGTGGACACCCAGGTGGCAAGGCTATGAGGTAGCAAGTGGGATTTAGGCCTGCAGTTGGCTCTATATCCACTCCCTGTACTGTGGCCAGGTCACACTGCAGGTGACAGAGCAAGGCTTGTAGCTACAGGAAAGGCTGAAGCAGCAGTTGAGGCATCAGAAATGAAGTGCCCCTACCAGGCCCCTGAGGAGCTGGAACCCAAGTAGCTGCCAAGGAAGTCAGCACAGCTCCACAGCTGAGGGTGCTGCGGGATGTGGCCCTCGGCCTCCACAGAGCCTTGGGGTAGGATGCCAGGAGTGTCACTGTGCCAGCCTTGCCCTGCCAACCCTGGGTAGAGACAGCCTGAGTGCGGCTGTGTCTTAGCCTTGTTCTCCATTTATGGTTCTGAGCCTCAGTCTGGCCTAGACAGGCCAGCAGATCACCCACACAGGAGGGCACTCACTCATGCATGCTGCTATGACAGCAGGCCCAGAGAGCCTGGTGGAGCTGTGCTGCAGCCTTGCTCCTCCTGCTTGAAAACCTGCTTAGATGGGCCATGGGTGATCTCCTGCCATCCCAATACCCAGGAGTCGGGAGAAAGTTCCAAGACCTTCATCTGAAGACCCTGCCTACAGGGATTATTAGCTCCAATTTAAACACAGATAGTAGATTAGCTGGCTAGTAGAGGAAGTTGGTGAGGCAATCTCCAATACAAGAAAGCTAGGGTGAGTGGTTCATCCTATGCCATTCAGAGTCCCCTGCCCATCACAGACTGGCCAGTCTCTGGGAAAAGGGGAGAGTTGCTGCCCTAAGCCTCAGAGAACAGGCTGTGGATTTCTGTGCTTCCTTGGAAGTCTCATACTTTGGTCCCCCGAGGCCCCTGGCAGCCATGCAATCAGAACTATGGGATAAGTTGGATATACATGTGCACCCCAGAAACTCCCAGAGCCAGTGGCATCTCTGACCCCAGTTTTGAGGGCTTCTTGGAAGGAAAGGGCAGGCTGGTTCCCCCATGACTACACACAGAGGCATTTCTTCAGAGAAATCTAAGTCCCTCATGGCAGAGGGCTACACAGGGCAGAAACCAGCCTCATTCTCCCTTAGTGACAATCCTTTCAGCCCTAGGGAAAGCCCTCAGTGGTCAGCCTTCCACTTTGAGCCAGGGGAGGTGTGCTCTGAGAAAGGGCAGCCATGGACTGACCTGGGTCTCAGTCCCAGGGCCCAGGCTCAGAAGCCAGCTTTAACCACCAGCCTAGTGTGCTGGACAAGTTCCACTGGAGTGTGTGAAACAGCATCAGGGCTCCACCCTGAGCCCCAGAGGTCTCTGTGAGGTAGTGCAGAACAATTTTGTCCCTTTTCTCTGATAGCACCTCATGTCGCCTCCCAGGTGGCTGCTTATACTACAAGAGGACTCTCCCTAGAGGCTGGCGGGGCGGGGGGATGGAGCAAAAAGAGAGAGAGGTATGGTCTCCTGCTTATGGTAGGGAAAGCAGACATATTGTACCCAGCCTAAGCACCCAGAGGACTCAGTCATGCTCAGAAGCTGGGGGCATAAGCTAAGATGAAGGGGGAGGGGAATCAGGCTTACCTTAGGGTCCTGGACCCAAGAAGCACCTCATTGGAAACAGTAACTATGGCCAGAGATCCCATAGTCCAAAAGGGTCAGTCTTGAGCCTATGATTCTCAGTGATTCCTGGGGACTAAGTGCTGGGCTGGTCAATGGATGACTGTGATAATCAGATTACCTGGCACTAGGCTGGTGATGTCTGAAAACAAGTCTGAGCTGGTGGGAGGGGGAAGAGATGGAAAATGGGCAACAGTCCAGAAATCTCAGGACCCGTTCTGTCATCAGCACCCTAGTGTATAAGGGGGCATTTGTGGGACGCCTGCATGCTAAGGACATATGACTATCCCCTAAGTCCTACAGTGTGAGTAGTTTCCTCCTTGCCAGACTGGGAGCTTCTGGAGTCGGGGGGGGGGGCTTGTCATTGTCCCTTGCATGTGCCCATGGCCCGGTGGGGTCAAGGGATGGAGGACAGACCCCTGGCACATGGATCCCCAGAGACCTTCTCTTCCACTTGTTTGCTTTCAGGTTCAAGGTCTTCTCTCCTTTTCTCTTCTGCTCCCTCCCTTCCTCCTTCCTCTCCCCCTTCCTTTCTTCCTTTAAGATAGGATCTTGTTTACCATGTAGCCCAGGCTGGCTTGGAACTCAGGATCCTCCTGCCTCAACTTTCCTACTACTAGGATGACAGATGTGCAACTCCACACTTGGCTAGGTTCTAGATGTTTTATGTAACCTCTCCTTTTTCTCCAGAGATTCCAGCAGCCATCAAAATTCCATTTATACCTCTGCTCCTTGGATTCTGGTCAGTAACATTACTGTCTATCAAAGCCTTCTTCTTCCAAAGCAGACACACAGGTCTGTAGGAAAATTGGTTTGGGTGAGGTGTTTGGAGGCTCCTACCATGGACAGTGACCCTGGCGCTGCAGGACACCTGCCCCAAGGCATTCTCTGCCAGGCAGGTGTAGATGCCGTGGTCCTCAGGCAGGGCATCCTGGATGTGGAGCTCGGCCATGCCAGCCTTGCAGGTGGAGCGAGCAAACTGGATGGGCTGGCCTGCAGAGGAAAGCACAAGAGGGCTCAGGCCAGGGAGCACCTGGTAGTGGGAGGCAGGACTGCTGTCATGACACTGGGGCTGGCCCAGATCAATGGAAGTCAAGACTGGGGCTGGAAAGACTAGGGAGAGTCATTCTGGAGGAATTTGGCATGTAGAAGGGCAAGGACAGAGATTTGGGTATTTTGGATAATCTCCATTACATATACCTGGAAAGAATTATGCAGGACCTTGGTCCATAGCTGAGACTCACACAGAGCAGACCACACCTAAATTGAATGTGTGGCTCCCAGCTCCCTTTAGATGTTTCCTGAAATGACCCCACTTCCCATTGTAGATATTGACCAGAAAGAAAATCCACAGTCCCACCCTAATGCTGCAATTATGTTCATTTCTTCTGTGTAATAAACTACACTTTGGCATTCATGGCAAAGATGGATATATGGATCTAAAGTGGCTGGTCCCTCCACAAGAAGCCCTTTGTTCAGGGCTCTTTATATACAGTCCTAAGTGGAGACAGGATACAGGCACTTAGTGTCAGTGCTGTCCTTAATACTACATGCTCTTGAGACTTTATCATTCCAGAATGTAACCTTAATTTCTAGGGAAATAACCCTCTCATTACTGAAGATTCTGGCCTCTGAGCAGGAATGCATCTGTTTGCCATATAGGAAGTAACTGTCAGTCCCTTTTCCTTCCAGACCCCTGGGGCCTGGTGTGCACTTCATAAAATTTCGGGTTAGAGGCTGGGGAGGCAGACTACAGAAAGAAATGCTTTCCCCACAATGCAATGTTTTCTTCTGCACATAGCAACACTTCGTGTCTCCAGGACAGTTTGACAAAGAGACTGCCAAACACACGGGAGGGAAGAGAGTCTTCCCAACCCATTGCACTCTATAGCAGTGGGGCTGGCATGTATGTCAGGGAGGCAGGGGCCAGGATCCTGTCACTAAGGGCTGAACAACACTCTGCTTTTCTTTTTGTAACAATGACACCCCTAAAGCGTTTTCCATGAGATCATTGGTACCTACCTGTCGTCAGAATGTCTCCTCTGTCCTGAGATGAACATCGTGATATCTCATCTTTTACTGAAGTACAACTCCTTTTGGCCCCACAGGCAGGGATAGAGCCCCAGAAAGAAGCTGTTGACTCAGAGCACTTGGTGATTGAATCAAGAAACTCCCAGGTTGGACTAGTTACCAGCCAAGGAAACCAAACTTGAGCATGATTGCCCTCTAGTGGGAAAAGTATAGAAAACCCAAGATCTACCCAATTTTGGAGAGCTGTTAAATCATAGGTCAGCAATCAGGGGTGGGCTAAATCCCACCTGAAAGCTGGTTTTATGCAGTCTGAAAACTAAGAATAGTTTATATATACTGTTTAAAAATTTTGTTTAAAATTGTTTAAAAATTTAAAAAGAATAAAAATTCTCAACATGGGAAAATTACATGAAATTTATATCTCAATGCCCCAAATCACTGATAGTTGCTACAGAGGTTGTATGGCCTGAAAACTTGAAAGGATTTACATACTGGTCCTCTAGAGGAAATATTTCTTGACCTTTGTTTTAGCTCTGACCTGGTCAAAGTGAAACTCTTAACTTAGATTCATGAATGGTCCTTATGTTCATATTTTACTCTAGCCTCAAGGAAGCTGGGTCCTTGCAGCCAGTCCTAGGGCCCCTCAGGACTTGTACCTTTGGAAAGGGATGGGGCAGACGACAGACCTCAGTTCTGTCCTATCCACCAAAGCTGACTGCATGGATGAAGGGCACATGGCATCTCTTCTTACTCAAAGATCATTTCCATGAGGCTGGAGAGATGGCTCAGCAGTTACGAGTAGTGGCTACTTGTGCAGAGGACCTGGGTTCAGTTCCCAGCACCCATATGGTGGCTTAACAACTGTCCTGTTAACTCCAGTTCCAGGGAATCTGATGCCCTCTTCTGCCCTCTGTGGGCATTGCAGGATATGGGTGCACTTACATATATGCAGGCAAAACACTCACACACATACAATATAAATAAATAGATCATTTCCAGCAAAGCCTGAGAGAATTACATTGACATAGAGGCTCATGGGCAACTAGATGGGACAGTGACACAGCTGGACTATTGGGTGATAAGTGGCGGGGGCTGCCTCTTAAGAAGCCTGTGCTATGAGATGTGAGAGTTGGCTGAGATCCCAAGCCCTCTGGTCTCCCCTAAAATGGTCAAGTTTTCTGAGTACTCCATGGCGGAGAAAGAGTGCCCAGGCCCCCAACTCTCAGTTGGTCCTTGCTCATACTCCCTGGGGCTTCCCAAAGCAGCTTTTGCCCAGATAATGCTCATTGAATGGACTGTTCTTAGCCGGAAAATCAGTGTTCTCTCACACTTTTAAAATTTAAAGGGCCTTTAAAAAAGATAAGGGCTATAATATATGGTAATTTTTTCCTCAAAAAAAAACTTACTTGTCTTTTTTTTTACAGAATTGTAACTGACATTAAAAAGAATGACTAGTCTCTGATCTCAGAACCACCTACCACTCAATAAAAGGTAAAACTCCTTGACCAATTTCTGGTGTGGGTTTATTAGTTTATTTGTTTGTGTCTTTATTGTCCTGATCACAGGACAAGAAACTGAATTGTTTGCACATCTTTGTGTAAACACCTTGTTACCCACTTTATACATGTGAGCTAAGTGAATCTCCAGTTGACACCCTGCCAGGTTGGTGACATTATTGTCATAGTGCAGATGAGGAGTTCAAGGTCAGCCAGTTAGCAGCAGATGTAGTTCCCATGTGCTCTCTATGCTTCGGAGGCATGCATGGTTCAGAGTGAGAAGTGAAAATTTAGGCAGGACAAAGGGACTGGGGCCAGAACTCACCATTAAGGAGCCAAGTGATCCGGGGTGCTGGGGTCCCCTGTACATTACACTGCAACACAAAATCCTGGCCTTCAATGACAGTGCTGTCCTTCAGGACACTAGAGAATGATGGGGCCATCTCTGCCAAGGCTGGCCCTGTGAGGGCAAAGAACAGACAGGTCCTCTCAAATCACATCTTACCTCCTGGTGACTGACCAGTCACTCCAAGCCTTGCAGGCAAACAACCTACCCTGGGCTTCCTCAGCAGCTGGCTGTGCCTTGACTGCCCACACACTTGGGAAGTAAAAGCACCAGATGTCTGCAGTCCATGCAGAGGAACTGGCAGGGAGGGGCCGTCTAGGTTTACCAAGCTCCCTAGGCTGGGATTGCCTTCTCTAATTGGGACCCAGGCTCCTCCCATATACTTTTGACCTTGGCTGTCCTGGGCATCCTGGGAGTGTCTTCTCCCCTCTTTCTGGGTCTGATTCTACTTTCTAGGGTCTCTTGTTAATATTTTTTTGAGAAGCCACAGGCCCACATTGGGTATATTTCTATTTAAAATTATTATAATTATTTTTTCCAATTCCAGGACTGAATCAAATAACAAAGATTCACATGTGTTTTCTAACTGTGGCTTGAGCCCCAGTCTAAGTCAAGGGTTCAAAACGGCTGGAGGCTGTGCTGGGCACACACACTGACTGGTAAACTTTCTACTCTTAGAGAACAGTCAAGGTGAACTTTCAAAGCCTCTACATAGTGGACTGGGAAACACTCTAAAGTTTGGGGACCTTAATTAAGAGCAACAGGGAAAGAAGATTGCTTCTAAACCCATCAGAACATGCTGCATAAGGGTCAAGATGACAGAATGAGAAAGGGCAACTGGATTCAGTGATTAGAGGATATCACTGGTGCTCTTCAAGACAGGCAAGCTATTCTATACTGCCAGGGTTCTGGGCAACAACAGTAGTGATACTGGAGGGGCTTCCATGGGGCCACATACACTTCTAGGTATGACTATGTCAATGCTATGGAGTTGCTATCTTCAGCTTCTTTTATGGATGATGTTCATCATTCCCCATAGTCAAATCCATGATGAGGCAGTGTTCACAGCCAGCTCTCTGACTTCACAACCACACTTTTTCCTCTAGCCCCTACAGGGAGGGTAAACAGTGGGAGAATAAATACAAGACAGAGCGACAGTTACGGTGCTTCTGGTCAGGCCTGGCACCGAGGAAGGCACCGCTGATCCAAGGGCTGTGGGAAAGCACCATCTCTACTTTCCCCGGCTCACCATCATCAGAGTCCCTAACCAGAGAGATATCTTCTAGAGTCACTGACAATATTATGTGCCTGGCCAACTTGGGTTAGAAATACTCTATCTTTTATAAGGCATATGATATTGGAAAGTCACATGACTTTATTGCAGCTCAGTATTCTCATCTGGAAAATAGGTTTAGCTATAATTATCTCATGGACTATTGGGTTAATTAAATGAAATGAAGAAAACAAGAGGAGAGCATTTGGCAAAAGCTTGGCTTATAGAACATTCTTGATGAGCTACTCTTGTCAAATGGAAGCTGTACACAGAAACTCGGCTTGGACCAGTGTAGTTTGGTGGGAAGAGAACAGAAGGTAAAGTAAGAGCTTGAGAGTCATCAAGAAGAATGACTCTTTCTTGGATGACTCCCCCCTCCTTTCAGCATGAGGAAGACTAAGAAGGTGCTGGTAAGGGGCAAAAAGAGGCCAGAAGGGGAGAGGAGAGACCAGAGGCAAAGTCATCTCTGCCGTATAAGATCTCCATGGAAGCAGGGGATAGGAAAAGAAGTCTAAGTAAAAGGAGGCCGTTTTTCTGCAGTTAGAGGAAGAAAGACAGTTGGTAGCAGACACTAAATAGCATGGATCACACCAACTGTGATCCAGGTGTTTGCCAAGCATGAACTGGGAGATACGAAGACTACAGAAGTTGCAAGGCAGCTAATGCCTTCAAAGCACTTCTGGACTGGCAGAGCAAAGACCTCTGCAGTCTACTCCAGAAAAGCATCAAGTGCACAATCAGAGTCTAGAACAACCTTTCCAGAACTTGGTATTAACCAAGGCTTTCAACTTTCTGAGGAGCATTCATTTACAAACAAAACCAAACCCTAAGCCCCCAAACCAAATGGAATCTTGGACAGGATAGCAAGCTTTGTGGCATTTTAACCCTTATTCTCTTCACCCCAGCTCTGTGGCAGCTTTGAAAAACAACTGTCTGGCAGAGGCAGAGAGGGGCCAGAGCACCTAAAAAACCCCCAGCCCTAAGAACTGTCACCACTGGATGGTGACTGTAGCTCCTTCAGCTCCACTCACAGGGCTCTTCTTTGACTTGATTCAGAGCCTTATCTATATGAACAGCTCCAATTCCAGGGTGTTTGTAAAAAACAAACAAACAAACAAAACAAAACAAACAAACAAATAACGTCACAGCTACTCAGGCTGCAATATCAGGTGGGGTTAATTAGAATCTGAACAAAAAAACTTAAGAGGAAAAACTGGGAGTATTTCCATGGTTGTGAAAAGTTCTGACATATTCACAGGGTCCCAGAAGGCCACATGCAGGTACAGGGCTATATGCGTGCTCAGGGAAGGCTTGAATGCTCACCTCTGTTTGGCCTGGAGGCTGTGTCAGCAGGTAGTAAAAACTATGATAGAATTCAGCTGTAGGACAGAAGATATGCAGGCTGACTGCCCTAATACACACAGAACCTCTCATCAAAGGCACAGAGACAGTTTGATTTGAGGGATTTAAGGGCGCTCACATCCAATTGTTCACCCAGTTACTAAGATAACTAAATGGAGGTTTTATGCACATGACAAGTAATCTGGTATTACAAATGCTCCCCATAGGCCCAATAATGAAGGTTTGGGCCACAACTTGCAGCACTTTGGGGAGATGGTGGAAACTTGAGGAGGGTCCTTGTGGAAGGAAGTTAGGTCACTGGGGGATGTCCCGATAAGGAACATTGGCACCCAGTCCCTCCTTTCTTGCTTTGATTTCTGGCTGCTATGAGGTGGGTCGTGTCCTCCATCGCATACTCCCTGGAAGGCCTGCTTCATCACAGGCCCCAAAGCATGGAGCTAGTTGATCATGGAGTGAGACCTCTGAAACTGAGCCAAAGTGAACCTCTCCTTTTTAAGTTGATTATCTTGGGAATGTTGTCACGGTGACAAAAAATGTTAGACTTTACAGAATAGGATAAAATAATTGCAAATCATATGTCTGATTAAAGGACTTGTGTCCTGAATAGATAAAGAACTCTTATAACACCATAACCAAAAAATGACTTTATTAAAAATGGGCAAAGTTTTTCAATAGGTATTCTGCAAAGAAAACATGCATATGGCCAAAAGGCACATGGGATGATGTTCAACATTATTAACCATCAGGGAAATGAAAATCAAAATCACAATGAGATGACTATAGGTAAGTATAAAATGGAAGGTAACGGGTTGGAGAGGTGGCTCAGCAGTTAATAGCACTGACAGCTCTTGCAGAGGACCTGGGTTCGATTCCCAGGACCCATATAACAGCTAACGACTATCCGTAACTCCAGTTCCAGGGGATCCGACACCCTCTTCTGACCTCCATGGGCACTGCATGACATGAATGCACTTACATGCATGTGGGCAATATACTCATACTCATAAAATAAAAATAATAAAAAATTTTAAAAAATGGATTACATGTGTTGGTGAGTGTGTGAAGCACTTGTATACATCTAATGGAACAAAATGTACCACACAATTCAATAACTCCACCCATAGGTACACACCCTCCTAACTGAAAATATGCATTGAAGAGAATTTGCATACAATACTCACAGCAAGACCCCACCACTACATGAAGAACTATAGGCAATCAGTGGCTGCTGAAGGAGGGAGAATCAGTTTTCTCCAGGGATGAGCTCCCTGGTAAATTTCTCAATCCTAAGTGGTCAGTCTTAAACACATGTACATATGGGAAACACTAATTCTCCTAAACTCAGTAGGGTGTGTGCATGTGTGTGTGTGTGTGTGTGTGTGTGTGTGTGTGTGTGTGTATGTAGCAATAATAATTGCAGAAGAAGAGGTCATGAATTCAAGAGAGGGTCAGGGACATGAGAAGAATGGGAAAGGGGAGAAGGTGAGGAGGGAATAATGTGAATATAGTATAGTCATAAACGAAATTCTCAAAAATTAAAATAAAATAGCTAAAAGACAGAAATATGGCCTTCAGCGATACACATGCACTCAATGTACAGATATTTTTGTATTTTTCAAGTAGACTTTTGAACTAATACATTTCCTTCTGGTTTTTCACACCACCTAAGCATTATTTATCTCTCCTTTCTCTCCGTCTAACCCTCCCTGCTCTGTCCCCAGTTAAAGTACCCCTATTTTCCTCATTTCCACTTGATAATGGAAACCTAGAAACACAGTGGCACACAGGAGAACCCTCCCTTTGAGTTGTTGGTCAAGGTAGTCCAAGAGACTCCCAAAATAACACAGATTATTGCCACAACCCTTGATTACTTCCCAGAACTTGAAGGTAAGACCCTATTGCTGAAGACAGGACATACTTTAGACACAGGACTTAGGAAATGGAATTGGAATTGACCTGGAGAGCTCCCTGAAGTCTAGCTCTCATAGTTCTAAAGGATACTATGCAAGCTGCTAAGGGAGAAAAATCAATGAATGGTCCAACCCCAGCTTTAAAGTCTAATAACCACAATGACCTGCAGAAAACTATCTTTATAGGTGCAGTAGTGGCACTTTTATCTATGGGGTAACCAACAGCTACCTAACTGGACTTATAGCCAGCTCAATGGGAGGGAACTCATGTGTGGTACTGTAAACATATCCAAATATCCATGGCTGGATAGGTCATAGATCCTAGAGAAAAACCTGATACATCCATGGACAAACATAATTTCTTACTCTATGCTAAGTATAGATCCTTATATTTACAGACAAGTATACCTCTCACCACTCATCAAAGAAACTTTTTTGCAATAGATGAAGACTCTTACAGAGTTGTACAACTGGTCACACAGAGAGAATAAGTATCTGTGAGATGCCCAGCTCTAAATAACACATCAACAATGCAACCTCTACACTTAAGGCTCATGGAACATAGTGGAATAGGGGGTAGAGAGAATACTAATTCATCTCTCAACTCTCCCCAGCAAAGCTTCCTTATTCAACAGAAAGCAATTAACACAGAATGCCAGGTCAAAGTGTAGAGAATAAGAGATTGCAGAGTGCGTGTCCCTGGATAGGACTCATATTAAACCCTGCCCACCCAGGGCTCAGGGACCATTGCAGAAGAAGGGGTGGAAACATTGTTAGAGTCAGGAGGGGTAGATGACCACAATGAAATGGTTTTCTAGACTTTGGGAACTTGTTCATATGAATTTGCAACAATGGTGATGGCATGCACAAGACCCATGCAAACTCAAACCAGACAAAAACCCAGCACGGGTTTAGAACTGGGGAAATGGGCAAGAAGCTCCAAACTTGGCCAAGGAACTATTGGCAGGTAATCACTTCTGGGTAAGGGAGAGTTGGTTTTCTTTACAGGAGTGATACTAGATAGGTTGAACAGGCTCCAGTGAGTGAACTCAAACCGAGGGACATCTGGATATACAAACTTGACTCTATAGGCCTTAATATATATGGCAGAATGCATGAAATCCAGTGAGAGGGGCTGTGGAAGGGTGCTGATAGGGGAGGGGGTTGAAATATGATTAAGATATAGTATGAAATGCAAAAAAAAATCAATAAAAAATATATAACAGAGGACACTTTTCTAGAATGGTTCTCTCCTTCCATAATGTGTATCCTGGGGACTGAATTCAGCTGTCAGGCTTGGTGGTAAGTGTCCTTACCCACTGAGCAATCTTGCCAGACCAAGGGAAATATTTTACAGAAAGACAAATGGTCACGGGCTTTCCTTCCTTCCTCCCTTCATTCCTTCTTCCCCACTTCTTTCTTTCTGGTACTAGGGATCAAACCCAGGAACTCATGCAAGCTAGACAAGAACTCTCCCACTGAGTTATATGATCATCCCTATTTATCATAGCTTTTCTATAATGGTAAAAAAATTGGAAACAACTGAAACATTTAACAAAATAAGAAAATGCTTAAATTACCCATATCCATTTCCACAATATTATATGGCCACTAAAAATCGTGTCTTCAAAGACTATTAAATAATATAGGAAGATGTTTATGTTACATGAATGAATTAGGATAGAAAACAGGATACAAACAGCACAATGCTGATTCTGTTTCAAAAAAATTCAAATATTTATTTTGGAGTCAGAAGATTATAAGCAGTTTAAATCCTGCAAAATCAACTTTCATTACTTTTATAAACAGAGACTAAAGAAACATAAACAGCATGGTATTCCTATTTTCTCATATTTTTCTAAACCTATGTATTTAGTGATTGCTCACTCTATGTGAGTACAGTTGAGTCATGGCAATTCTTGGACAGCTGAGGAATCTAAAAACATAGCTGTCAACTGGCCTGGGAGCGGACTGCAGGATGTCTGTTTTGAGGTGATTCTGCAGTGAACACCTGATTAATATGAATGGGAGCAGTGACTCTGGCTCTCATCTGTAGGTGAGGATGACTATTGCAGATCAGGGTATGGGTCTGTAGGGGCTGAACTCTGCAGCACATGAAGCACCACACGAAGGCGAAAATCTGAAAATCTGAAAATCCAGGCCACCTGGAAGGATGTACTTACTTTCCACCAGGAGGGTCCAGCCGCAGGACACCTGGCCGTGGCTATTGGATGCCGTGCAGCTGTATCTCCCACTGTCCCTTCTCTGGGCTCGCAGCAGGCAGAGGTAATGGGATCCGCCATCTTCATAAACCTCAGTGATGCCTTCTCGCTTCCTCATAGGGACACCTTCCAGGAACCAGGTCACTTCAGGCTTTGGGATCCCTGAAACTATAGGGCCATGTGAGGAACGTGTCCTGAGGGGAACACGGTGTGCTTGTCTGGTGAGGTGGGGGAGGGACTAACCTAGAGGAAAGAGCTCTGACTTTTCTCCCTGAGTCCTATCCTGTGGAACAAATGTCTTATGAGAGTCAGGATCCTTGGGGAGGAAAAAAAAAAGGTGATGGGCCAATTCTCCAGGTGAACCAGGGACAGGAAAAGGAGGACAGAGAACAGAAGACCTGTAGTGTGTTTTGTGATGGCAATGCTGTTTTCCTCTGTCTAGCATGAAATGAATTAGGGCACTGGTCAAATGCTCTATTTCATAAGGAATAACGGGCCACTGGTGGATGTCTCTCCAGAATAAGGGGGCTTTTCTAGACTGAGTCCTTCCCAAAGAGAAGACCTTGGAAAGTAGCTTTCTGGGGGACCTGGCCCAAGGAGATACATATAGAGGAGGTGCAGACCAACCAAGTCCTGAAGGAAGAGGTGACTAGCAGCAAGCTTATATTGGGAACCAGTGACTTTAACCTACTCACCGTCACATCTGAACTTGACTGTCTGATCTTCAGTGACTTCTTGACTTTGGGGCTTGCTCTCAAATTTGGGAACTGTTGACTCCTGGTTTTCCACTGGGATTTTCCTAGTAGCAAACTTGTTCCCAACTAGGCTTCCAATGCTGCACTGCCTGGTAGGGAGTGTGGCTTGCTGAGGGGTAGTTGTCCTCTTCTTCTCTTCTCCATAATGAGAGAGGGCCTCCAAGTCCAGTGCTCTCCCTTCTGGCTGGACTTTTGTAGCCTGCAAGGTAATGGTACTGGAAGTCTTCTGCAGGATGGGGGTCTGCAAGAGCTTTTGGGGTGAGTCCCCACATGGATCTAGCTTGGGCTCCTGCAGGGACTGTGGCTGGCTGTTTGTGGCCCAGGCTGGGAAGCCACCCCTCTGGGACCTTGAGCAGTTCTTATTTTCAGTCAGAGTCTTTGGATCCTGAGGGATGCCATTGGTCACCTCCTTCCTGATGCCTGCACTAGGAGCCTTCGTTTCTCTCACAAATGATCTGTATGGTGGAAGCGGTTAGGAGGGGGAGGGGAAGGAGGGACAGAGCGGTAATCTGGTTACTCTCAAACATTACTTGTCATAGTACAGATTTCAAGAATCACAAAGTCCACAGATGAAGGCTAATAGTGGAGTATTTATTTGCAGCTTGCTTGCTCAGTGTCCCCAGCCAGAGCCCAGCAGCTACCTTTGACCCTCCCTGGTCTTGCACTTCCACCCATACCCCTGTGCATTGATTCTTCTCTTCTCCCAGGGCTTTGGAGTTCAAACCAACCATCTGCTTCCCTTCCCACAAAGCCCCCCTCTAATCCAATTCTGCATAGCAACTGCAGTCAGTCTTTTAAAGACATGAACTGCATTACATCATTTGAAGCTCAAGGATTTTCCAACAGCTTTCCACGCTATTAAGAATAAAACTGAGCCTCACAACAGGCCCTAAGCTCCAGCTGCCTCTTGCCATACTCAAGATACTATCCTGCAGCCCTGTTATTCTTTCTCACAGAGATCACAATCATAATTATGCATCTGTGAAACAGTTTAAAGCCCCTCTCTATGGTGGACAGTCAGCTTACCCTGTTTACTCCACATCTACTCTGTGCCTCACACCCTGAAAGAAAGGAAGCAATCATGACCCTGGGCTAGCAGAACGAGTGGACTGTGGCCTGAGACATTAGTAAAGCCATCCTTAGTGTGGTCCACTTGGGAAGATACTGAGGAAGATGGTGGCATTGAGTTTTCAAGTGTTCACATGGATGGCAACTCTAATAAAGTCACACAGCAAATTACCACAGGAGAAACAAGCAAGGCACTCCCAAATAAGGCAACTCTCCTACACTCGATCTTCTGTTGCCATACAGTGGCTTGAAAACTCAGGGCATTTCTGGACGCTACTGTTCTGCGCAGAGCATTTTAAGATGGAAAACGTAACAATCATGAAGAAAAGACATACCTAGTAGCGTTATCCAAACCTGGAAAAGGAGTAAAAAGACAACGGATTATTTAATATGCCGGGTAGAGACAAAGGTAAGGCAACAGCTTTTCCTCTATCACAGAGCTTTCATGGCCTACACATGTTCCTGTAGTGTTCCTGTCATGTTTCTGTAGTGTTCCTGTCACAATGGCCCATCCTGCTGGACTGCCTCCAGACTTCCTGGGGTTGAACCTCAGTCAGGCCAAGAAATACCTCCCCACTTCCCCCCTTCTCCAAGAACTCTGTCCCAGCTTCAGGGGTGGCCCTTCTTGGACTTTCTAACAGCAGCTGGGACCTGAGGGCATGGACCTATTCCCCTCCACTAAGCAAAAGGAGGCAAAACCCATGGGGGAGACTCCTACTGAAAATGCTAAACTCAACGTTTTCATTTACTTGTAGCCCTAAAAAACAGACCCTCCCAAGAGGTCCATTTTTGACAGATAAAATACTTTGAAAACATACAAAGAAAGTGTCATTTTATTCTTCCAAGAAAAAGCATGTAATGTATTCCTTTCCTACAATGTTTGCTGCTTTTTAAATTTTATCATGGAAAGTTCCAAAATATATAGTGGCAGAAAGGACATTGCAAAAGAGACCCTATCTGTCCCTTTGGAATTGTTTTGCTTTTTTTAGGACTTCAAAACAAGTATGTGGCAACATATCATTTTGGCATTAAGTACATTAGAAGGGAGTGATTTTTAAATTCAAGGCTCTGGAAAGTAAAGGGAGAGAGGCTAGACCTTGCTCCAGAGGCCTGACATGGCTCCTGACCCACAGTGAGTGGCCGAGCCGAGTTACATTCTTTGATCAGAACTGGGAATTCTTGTTTTAATTGTGTCCAGTAGAACATAAAATATTAGTGTGTGCTGTTCATAGAATGGGTCCATGAAACTTTAAGGTGTATATGTTGATATATCTATATATTCTGGGCTGTCATGTAAAATAAGTTGCTTTGTGTGGTGAAAACCGCTTAGGCCTAAAAAATAAACATGTAAATAGACAAATGGAGTGAGAAGGCATAGTTCTGAGGAAAGGAAGAAGATGCAGAAGGGGAAATCACAGATGAAGGATGAAGAAGGGCCCCTTTAAGCCCAAGCCATTTTCTGTGACCAACAAAATCTGTAAGCAGCGGGTGTTTTGTACAGCGAAGTGCTACCTAATCCTTTCTGTAGCTGCGTGGCCGGGCTTCCCCAGGGTGGGCTTAGAGGAAGCAAGAGGACAACACATGTTCAGAGAGATGGTGGAGAAAGAACTGACAGGGCTGAGAAGTAAAGTCAGGAAGTGGGTGGAAGTGTTGCTGACATGTCCAGTCTGGTGAGGAGGATGCTGTGTAGAGTTCAATTGAAGGAACATTTGCTTTGAGGACAGAGTGGACAAGTTCGATTTCAGGCAGCAATGATGACAAAGCATTAGCAACATCAACTCTTCCAATAGACATTAGAGATACTAAAAATGTACCTGAGCTATGAGGAAGGACTGAGGACAGAGGCAGGGCCCAGCATAAGGACAAAGTGAAGGGAACAGACAGCTTGTAGCATCTTCTTTTGGGCCTGGTCTATGTTTCCAGCTCATCCCTATTTCTTCTTGTTAAAGACCTTGCCCTTGACAGATGCATGGTTAAGTGTGCCACATGTATACACACATAGAAATGTAAGGAACAGCTTCCTCTAGGAGGGTCCTACACCAGAAAGAGATCCTCTGTATCAGCAACACATACCTAGGATGGAGAGTTCTGCTGACATGGAGGCCTTTCCTGACCCATTCACCACCATGCACGTGTACAAGCCCATGTCATCCCGGGTGACCTCATGGATTTCCAGGACCTGCATCCCATTCTTCTCCGACATAGATACACGGGCACTCGGCTGCAGTGGGACATTTCCCTATGGGTGGCAATAGGGGAACTTGGTCACAGAAATCTCTCTCCTTTTGGTACAGTTATCTTGATTCCCATGAGTCCTATGGGATGAACTCCAGGCCTGGGCACATTCTACACATTCATCGCCATCTGAACACTCTGCCTTGAGGTCTCTGCAGATGCTGTGCTTAGAGCAGACATGTAGAAATTACCTCGAAAGAACCCTAATTCCTTTGGAGGAAGGAACAAAAGCAGGTTCCTGTATTCAGTTTTCTTTGCTTCCCTCTTTTTCTGAGGATGTGTTTAAGAGAACCAAGACTTTCAAATCAAGTCTTTCTTATCTGAAAAACCCATTCTCTCTCTGTTCCCTCTCTCCACCTGTTCCTGACATCCCTCGCTGCCGTGCTCCATTCCCTCCTACCTCATTGCCTCCACTTCCTGACACCGTCATCTCCTTTGCCTATCTTCTCTTTGCCCAACCTTGAATGGTTTATAAAGCACTTTTGCATGGAGTGTTCCACCAACATGTTGAGGTAGTTGACATTATTTCTGCCTCACAGATGAGGAAACTGGATTCCAAGAGCTTAAACAACTCATCTAGCATCAAGCACTTTGTAAACCATATGTAGGAGAGTTGTCTGAATTCCAGCATCCCAATTCAAATTCTTTCTCTTGGGATGTCTGGGTCTGTCTTGACTCTGAAGCTTTCTGCTAGGAGCACTGTGGTCTGAGTAACAGAAGGGAGCATGGGAATAGGAGCATCACTATCTCACACTGAGTCCTTGGGACCTACTCAGGGCTGAAACAGAATGAACTAACTGCAAAGATAGATTCCCACTAGTCCTAGGGTTTTACTGTGAATTCTTGGGGGGATCTCCCAGCCAGAGTCAGAGTCAGGGAAGACAAAAACCTCACCTTAAGCCAGGTGACCTGTGGAGGAGGCCGGCCAGTAATCTTGCAGGAGAATCGTCCCATTTGTCCTTCTTTGACCACAGCTCGGCCTAGCTTAGTGGCAAACTTTGGTGGGCACTCGCCCCAGATGCTAGGACGAGTCTCCACTGCTGGGGCTGAATATCTGTCCCTGGAAAGATATGAGCAGAGAATCTAGCCCCAGACAAGGTAGCAATTTAGTTCTCCTCCTCCTACTCCTGCCTAAATCGTGGTCAGAAATCATCTAAGTGTTGCTTTCCCAACTTTATGTCTCAAACACTTTTCTTGCCTCCTCTGGAAAACTCGGTGGCATCAAAACCTATTGCTGTTACCTCCTGGGCATGCAGCTGCACTGGATTTATTAGTCTCCCTTATACGTAAGTTTTACTGAGTGCTGGACCAAACCCTGGGTTTCTGCCAATAAATCAAGAGCAGGATTGTTATGTGCAACTTCAGGACTGAAGCTGACTCGTGGAAACCTCCAGAAAGCTTCTCCACTCTTTTCTGCCCAGTATTCTGGCTAATAGCTGGAGCTACAAAACAGGAAACCTGGGATCCTGGAAGATAGTGCAGAAGGCTCTCATTCATTCAAGAACATCTGCACTGAACTTCCCTTCACTAAGAAGTAAGCTTTCCTTGGGTTGAGCCACTGAGATTTGGGACTTGTCTGTGACAAGAGCTATTGTTTTTATTTTATTATATTTTATTTTTATTTTATGTGCATGAATGTATTGCCTGCATGTAGGTAAGTGTGCCCATGTCGTGCAATGCCTGTGGAGGACAGAAGAGACTGTTGGATCCCCTGGAACTGGAGTTACGGACAGTTGTTAGCTGCCATGTAGGTGCTGGGATTCAAACCCAGGTCTTCTGTAAGAACAACCAGTGTTCTTAACTGCTGAGCCATCTCTCCAGCCCAAGAGCTATTATTAATGCCTCTTCTAAATGTACTCATTTAAATCTTGTCTCTGCTGTCTCTATTGTTAAAGTTTCCTGAACCTTGTAGCCACCTACCCCACTACCTTACTGTTTAGCAGCTGGGCCACAGGTGCTGCCCACAGAGGCTGCCTGGTCAGGAGGTGCTGTGGGAATGGCACACCATGTCCCGCTTGGCAGTCATTCTTCAGTTATTACAACCTGGGAGACTTACTCCACACATCTATCCTGGTGAAGTCAGCAGCAAAAGCCAGCCCTTTTTTCTAGTCTGAGCATTCCAGAACTTACCCCAAGGTTTTGGAAACAACAGGTTGACCACGGGTCGTCGCAAAACTCCCTGCAAGTAACAAACAGAGACAAGCTAAAGAGTGAGGCCAGACTGTAGTCTCCAACCTTGGCAGCCAGTCAGGCCGATCAGATGGCAGGGCGGGGGGTGGGGGGAGGTGGGACAACGATGGCAACAGCCAACCCTGAGCACCTGTCAACTCACTGTGGGCACCGAGCTAGGTGCTTCGTGCTTACTAGCCAGAGAACTCTGCAATAATCAAATGAACTTGGTACTACACTCCTTTTCCATCTTTTTTAAATGGATAAGAAAAATGAAATTCAGAGAAATCACATGTAAAGTCATAGAACCATGAACAGTATAAGAATTCACCAGGTCTCCTGAGTTCTAGAACATTCAACCACTGTGTTGAGCAGTGAGGTGTCCCATCAGGCCTTCTGCTGTTGATTACCAGGACCTTTCCAGAATGTGACTCAGTTCAAGGAAGAGAGGGACATGCCTGTGCACATCTCTAACCACATCTCTTCATAACTGATATAATCAACACCCCATCTTTCCACAGAAGGCTGAGAAAATAGCAACAAACAGAGTTGTAATGGGAGACAAGTCTAGAGATGAGCCACAGCAGAAATGCACCTCTCTGAATCTGCAGGGCTGCACTGACTGGGCACTGCCAGTCCTGGGCAATGTGCTGCTATGCTGGACACCTCCAGTTCTAGGTGAGAAGTTAATATACTCTGTGCTGCTGATCCTGGATGAGCTGCTGCTGTGTTAGACAGGAAAGAGTTAAATAGCAAACCTAGAGAGACCAGCTGGAGTCAGCGCCTTTTATCCAGCTGCTACAGCTGGGGAGGGAAAATATATAACGTAACTGAAAGAATTATGCAGGAAAATAATTACACAATAGTGTCTTGTTTTGTTTTTGAGGTAAGGGATGAGGAGGAGAGAACATTTTTGAGATAGTTATCACCCGAAGTTGTTCTCTTTCTACCACAAGCAGGGAGTGTATATAAAAGCCTGCCCAAACCTTGCATGGAAAGGTCAGAGGTCATCTTTTGATATGAGCAGGCAGCTGCTGTGGGAAATTTACAGGACATTGACTTGAAAATGACAGACTTCCTTACTGATCACATTTATATGACTGCATAGGAATTAACCCCAGGACAGAGGAGGAAGAGCCTAGGTGAGCATTTCCCCAGCCCTCCCTGGCTTGAGGTTCAGTCCCAGTAAGAGTCAACAACAAACACTTGCATACGTTCAGGTTGTGATGCCAGGTTTTGTTCTCCCTGGGATTGGTGACTACTATGGATGCATTTCTGTTTAATATAACCACTTAATGAACTAGGTCTAGTTTGCATTCCATAATGTGATTTGGTTCTTGTCATCCCATTCTCTGTTCAAGGTTAAAAGAACCATTAGACATTCTAAAAGGACACAACTGATCTGCACAGTTAAGATGCTGGGCCCTTCCCACTCTGCTGGAAGTGCAAACACCAAAATGTTACTAGTAGTGATTGTGGTGACAGGAAACTCAGAAATTTTAGGTATATTTTACTATCAGTAATATTAACTGTATTTTCTAAAGCTTATAAATACAATGGTAAAAACCAAAACAAAACATGACCTAGTCGTCTCCCTCCCTCAAAAAAGGAGAGAGAAAGAGAAGGTGAAATCTGGCATCCAAAGGGTAGGCAGGGCCTTCTACCCACGCTTCTTGCACATGCTCCCTGCAATAGCAGCATGCACATGCCCAGCCACTAATAGTCACACCATGTACCATTTACTGAACATACCAGTGAGTGCCACTGTATCACCCATCTCATCTTGAGTAAGTATTTCATAAAATGAGATTGATCAGATGATAAGTGCATAAAGAAAATTTAAGCCTATTATACAATGGGATATTTATTCAGCCATAAGAGAAGTGAAGTACTGATATGCTCCAGTACAGATAATGCAGTGAAGGAAGCTGTCACAAAGACTGCATACTGTATGATTACATGTGTAAGAAATGTCTAGAACAAGCAAATCCACAGAAAAAGAAGGTGTTCAGCAGCTGCCAGGGCCTGGGGGAGGAGAGGATGAGGACAGAGAACTTAACAGCTCTGGGATTTCCATTTGGGGATTGAAAACGTTCTAGAACTAAACAGTGGTGAGAGCTGTGCTACCCTGGGAGTGTACTAATGACACACGTGCACTTTAATGTACACTTTGGTAAAGTGGCTAAAGAGGTAAATGTCATGTGCTTTTTACCAAAATAAAAATAAAAATTACATTGAGGTTGTTTTATTTATTTATTTATTTATTTATTTATTTATTTATTTAATTATTTGGGGGGGTGTGCCACCATCATAGGGCAACTGCAGGAGTAGGTTTTGCTTTGTGGGTGGAACTTAAGTTGTCAGCCTTGGTGGCAAGTACCTTTACCTGCTGTGCCATTTCAACATTCATTCATTCATTCATTCTTGGGAGCTGAGGTGGTTTAAGTGAGAAACCTCACAGGGTCAAGTATTTGAATACTTGGTCAGCAGTGGTGCTGTTCAGGGATGGTCATGGAATTTTAGGAGGTGCGGCCATGCTGGAGGAAGCAGGTCACTGTGGGCGGGCTTTGAGAATTCACAGCCCACCCCACTTCCAGTTTTGTTCTCTCTGCTTCCTTCACATACTTGAAGATGTGAGCTCTAATGTCCCTGTTCTAGCCTCCTGCTGCCATGCCTCCCCTGTACTATGGACTCTCCCTCTGGAACCATAAGCCAAATAAACTCTCCCTTCCATAAGTTGTCTTGGTCTTGGTGTTTAGATATCAGAGTTACAGAAAAGTAACTACAGTTAAACATTTTAATCCAAGGGCTAAAATTTCTTGTTTGCTTAAAAAAAAATAAAACCAGCAAAAATATAGTATTTTCCCTTAGAATAGCAACGAATGCTGTTGTCAGAGCAACCGCAATTTGGTATGAGGCAAAGGCAAGGAACAAAGCAGCCAGCTGAAAGTGGAGCTGGGGAACGTTCATCTCGGTGAGCGTTAACACCAGAGAGGCTACATCAAAACAAAGAGAATCTGGACGAAGATAACAAGCAGGGTCTATTTATAGGGGATGGGGGAGAGAATTAAGTTGCAAATTGTCAGATAAGGTAAAATTAATTTTGCAAAAGTATGAAAATCTGGCAGAAAGTAAGACAATGATGGAAAACAAGTGGAGAGGGGACTTAGGTAGAACACCAGAAATGGAGCAAATTAAGAGGACTGGCAGGGACAGGGTCAAGTTGGCAGGGAAAGAAAAGACTGAGATACTGAAGGTATTTTAACGATTCTTCTTAGACTTTTCAAGGATGAGTAAAACAGAAATGCTGGCAGGTTTTAGGAGTGAAAAGTTCAACAGAGGAGGGGCTAAAAGTAAACCTGGCATTTTTCATCGAAGGAGAAGGACTGAATGGAAAGAGAGCAAGCACACTGATCAAAAAGTGAGTCTAATTGGACTGGAAGACCCTCAATGGGGGGCAATGTAAACTCAGCCAAATACATGTGGCAGGAGACGATATAAATTCTAGAGAAACCCTATCTCTTTCATATCACTAGACAGATGAAATTTCTTACTATATGCTAAATATAGATCCTTATATTTACAGATAAGCATTTCGTACACTTCATCAAAAACGCTTCTTTTTGAAACAGATCGAGGCTACTGCAGAATTGCACAACTGGTTAGACACAGAGACTATATGTCTGAGAGATGCCCAGTATTAGGTGACATATCTACAGTTGAATCTCTATACCTAAGGCTCATAGAACATAGCAGAATAAGGGGTAGTGAGAAAACTAGTGTATCCAACTCTCACCAGTGAAGCTTCCTTATACAACAGAGTTCGGTGTACACAGGTCACAACTGGCCAACTTTTAAAGAATAAGAGACTGTAGAGTGTGTATCCCTGGCTAGGACTCTATATTGAACATCACCCATCCTTGGCTCAGGGACCACTGCAGAAGTGGGGGGAAGAAAGGCTGTAAGAGCCAGGGCTGGTTCATGAACACAGGGAAGCAGAGGCTTTCAGGCCACTGGAAGATTGCACATGTGAACTTGTGGCAATGGTGGCATCAAGCACAGGACCCATGCCAACTCAACTGAACAAGGGCCTAGAGGGGTGGAAAGAGATAGGTGGCGGGGTGACCCTAGACTGAGATCCATTGGAGGCTGGTTGCTGCTGGATAAGGGAGAGTAAGCATTGCACACAATCTCTGGATGGACTGACTGGACTCCAGCAGACAAATTTGCACCGAAGGGCATCTGGGTACAAATGCTTGCCTGGATAGGACTTACAATGTATGGTGGAGTGCATGGGGTCTGGTAGGGGAGATGGGGAAGGTATGGACAGGGGAGGGGGTCTGGGTTTGATTGCGAACTGTTGTATAAGAATACAGAAGCTCAGTAAAAAAAATTTTTAAAGGTGAAGAAAAGAAAAAAATGAGTAATGTGATCAGGACCATAAGGAGGAGCAAAGCTTCAGACAGCGTGTGGATGCAACTTATCACCCAAACAGGACTCTCAAAGCCAAAAGAGACACAATTAATAATTATGCCAGGGCAATAAAAGCAAATCCTGGCTGCTCCAGGAGAACTAGACAACAGTTAGCCTACCTGAGCCATCTTCAAAGTACCTCTTACAGACTGCTTCAAAGAGTGCATCTCCATTCTATTAGGGTTAAGTCCACTTCAGAGCACGTATTTCATTATGCCCCATGCCACCCAGAATTGAAGTTCACTACTAATCACACATGCATGTGGCTTCAATAATACATAAAGCCTTAATTACAATTAAGGAGTCAGAGAAGATAGTAAATTGAATCCGCTGTGTTTCAGTATATAACTGCTCAAGGACAACTGCCTGCAGCACCTTAGGAGACAGAGAGTGGCCAGTCTGTGTCAACTTGTATGTTTGGATTCCAAAATGAATGATCTGAAACCATACACCTTTAATCCCAGCATTTGGGAGGAAGAGGCAAGTGGATCTCTGTGAGATCAAGGCCAGCCTGGGATGGTCTACAATAGTGAGTTC